ATATCCATACATATCGAAGTCAAGGCGATCGATTGCAGGGTTGTGCAGTGTCGAAACAATCTTTTTCGTGTGTTTTTAAAGAAGTGAGGAATATAAGGTTGACACCCTATATAGATTTTTTTTTAGTTCAATTATCACAAGGTGCACCTCAAAAATCTACCTTAAAAGGTTATTCTGGGGCCGAAAACGATTATGATGCCCAAAACATTATTTTTACCCTTGATTAAGAAATTCAAAGCTCCAAAAATAACGTAAATCATGCAAATCTACGAATACTCAAAAAAGCTTGAAAATAGATGAGCTAGATAATGGGCTACAATATACACTATTTTTACGACTTAAAAATCTATTTTTTCTTTCATATTTATACACGCCTCCTAGTGAAGATGATCAATTGTAAAGTTTTTCACCAATATAACAATGTTTTGTGGATTTTTAGGTGCACCTTAGTTCACATCTTTCGTAAACCCTTTCCATTATCATATACTTGCATGACCCGTTTGTATTGGAGGAAATTAAGAGTCTTAAATATTTGAAATCCCAAAAAATCTATTGATTTTCAATATAAAGTATTTTTGTCATGAATTCTTCAAATATGTTGTTTGGATAAACTATACAAAATTCATGGATACCTTGCAATCACTTCTATATTCATTGTTTGGTAACAAAACTTGATATAATTTATCTTTTTAAAAAAATTATATACTTTCATTCTCTAAAACTCAAAATTGGGATAGTGTATCTACGAAAATTTTGAGATAGTTTCTCTCTCTCAAATTTGATATGGTTTGTCTCTCTAAAATTTAATATACTTTCTATCCAAAATTTAAAATTTGAAATTGTCTATTTAAAAATTTTGAGATAACTTCTCTCTCTAAAATTTTACGTGCTTTACTCTCTCGAAAATTTAATATAGTTTATCTTTCTAAAATTTTTAGACACTATCTCTCTAAAACTTAAAACTTGAGATAGTTTCCCTCTTCAATAATTTTGATATAGTTTATTTCTCTAAACATTTTTAAGTATTTTCTCTCTTTAAAATATGATATAGTTTTTCTCTCAAATTTTAAGATACTTCCTCTTTCTAAAAGCTAAAAGTTAAGATAATTTCTCTCTAAAATTGTTGAGACAGGTTCTTTTCTTAAAAAAATTTTATGTGCTTTTTCACTCTAAAATTTGATATAGTTAGTCTCTTAAAATTTCAGATGTTTTTTCTCTGAAACTTCATGTTTGAGACAGTTTCACTCTCTAAAATTTTGAAATAGTTTCTCTCTTTAAAATTTGATATAGTTCCTTCTAAACTTAGATATACTTGCTTTTTTTAAAGTTTAAAATTTGAGATACTTTCTCTCTCTAAAACTTAAATTTTGAGATAGTTTTTCTCTCTAAATTTTTTTGACATAGTTTCTCTCTCTAAAAATTTCATCTACTTTATCTATTTAAAATTTGAGGTAATTTATCTCTCAAAAATTTTAATATATTTTTCTTCTCTAAAATATAAATTTTGTGATAGTTTCTCTCTCCATAAATTTTGAGATAATTTCTCTCTCTAAAATTTTTTAAGTAGTTTATCTCTCTAAAATTTGATATAATTTATATTTCTAAAATTTTAATATATTTTCTCTTTCTAAAATTCAAAATTCAATATAGTTTCTCTCTAAAACTCAAAATTCGAGATAGTTTCTCTGTCTAAAAAATGAGATATTACTCTCTCTAAAAAAAAATTTGGTTGTTTCGCTTTCTAAAATTTATAATAGTGTCTCTCTAAAAGTTTAAGAATAATTTTTCTCTCTACAATTTTAAAATTACTTTCTCTCTCTAAAACTTAAGATTTGTTATTGATTCTCTCTCTAATTTTTTTTGAGATAGTTTATATTCTAATTCTTTTTAGGTACTCTCTAAAATTTGATATAGTTTCTCTCTCTATAAATTAAAATATGAGATTATTTCTATCTAAAAATTTTGAAATAGTTTATCTCTCTAAAAAAATTGAGATAGTTTTTCTCTCTAAAAAATTTGCATGTACTTTTTCTCTCTAAAATATGATAGTTTCTCTCTATAACTTAAAATTTGAGATAATTTCTCTCTCTAAATTTTTGAGATAGTTTATCACTCTAAAAAAAATTTGGTACTTTCTCTCTTTAAAATTTTAATAAATTCTCTCTCTAAAATTTTAACATACTTTCTCTCTCTAAAAGTTATAATTTGAGATAGTTTCTCTCTCTAAAATTTTGAGATAGTTCATCTCTCTAAAAAATTGATACTTTCTCTCTATAAAATTTTAACATATTTTCTCTCTCTAAAAGTTAAAATTTGAGATAGTTTTTCTCTCTAAAAATTTTGAGATAATTTCTCTCTTTAAAACATTTAGGTACTTTCTCTCTCTAAAGTTTTCATACTTACCAAATACTCTTTGTGTTTCGAGGGAGCCAATGAGTGAAATCGCTCTTTGTGTTTCGGATCGAGGAAGTCAACGAGTGAAATCCATGGGCATTAAAAATACAAAAAAACAAGTTTTGATAAGGAAATGAAATCATGGAAAAGTAGATTTTATTTCCATGATTTTGATTTCATTGATTTCAAGTATACCGGTCATTAATCAATCCAAACGGTAGATTTTGATAATATCCAAAATATTAGAGATTCATGATTTAAAATCCATATACCCAAAAACAGCTCCGTACAGTATTCGTAATGTATACTATAACCCGTGACTTTATTTTTTTATTTTATTTTTTTTAATTTAGAAATGAAATCTAAAGTTTTCCTTCTTTTTTCCAGCTCGCCATGTGAGAAGCACAAATCCTCAAGCGTTGAAAATCTAACGGCTGTGATCACTCTCTCCATTGAGTGAGACCGCCCATCCACCGTCCATCTCCTGCCTCGCTAACCGGATCAACTCGGTAAGTTAACGGTCCACACGTGCGTGATGCGACCTTTTAGATCTCGCACGTGGGTTTGACCGGCAGCAGCGGCCAAAATATCAAACTTTTTAGGCCAATCGTGGCCGTTGCTATTATTGCAAGATCCAATAAGACGGGCCCACTTCGTTCATGGGTTTGTGATCTGGAAAATACTTTAAAGAATATAACAATATACCTTGGGGGTTTTCTTGTAATAAATAGTTTGCCGACACCTAGTCTTTGTCATATTTATGTCATTGAAACTGTTATTTGAGTGGGAATTTATCGAATAATTACGGAAGGTATTATTTATTATAAAAGTAATATATTTTTTATTATGAAGTATATTTTTATGAAAATTAATAAATATGAAAATATAAATTGGACTCATTAAATCATAACTACATTATAAATTTTGTAAATAACAAACTTGAGAAGGGAAAAATATGTATCAAATTTTGTAAATGTCAAATGGGTAATTTTTCAAATTACCTATGGAGATGAACAATAACACCTAAGTCATATTTTTTTATTTAAATTAAAAATACTCATAAAATATTTGAGGATCTTGAGTTGAATTGGTTGTGAATGGAAAGAATGTTAAAGTAGTTGGTCTCTTACGGATATTCTGATAAATTTCTCAAATTAAAATATAAAAAATCATGTTCCAAGTCAATAGTACTCAAATTTAAGTAAAATGCTAAATTTTTGGCAGTTGACAATTTATAGAAACTTGAAGTAAAAATAACATTTTTAATTCAAATTTATATCCTTATTTTTTGCTTTGAGATTGCACATATATTATTACTGAGAATTTTTTATGGAAGCCTAATATACGGTTATAAATAAATTATTTGGAATATTAGTAGTCTACTTGCTCTCTTAGATCAGAAGACCCACTCGAGAGGATGTTTTTCAATCTGAAATTTTGGAATCATTCAAGAATTATTGAATGATTATTCTCAAAAAAAAATATGAAATTTGAGTTTTTTAACACTTAGATCTTACCATCTAAAAATTAGATGGTCTCTATTCAATCTTGAGACATTATTTTTCCAACAGTACAACTAAGAAATTTATTAAAGTAAATTTATGGGTTGAAGAGATTATGTCTCTAAAACTTGAGGTCCTAAAATTAATTATAGATATGGTTTTACTCCAGGAGGAGTAGAGTATCTTTTGGTATTTACAAAGGCAAAATATGAATTAAAAATAGAGAAATGTATATATAGAGCCGAGGCTTTAAACAATCAAATTAGAGCCTATCTCAAAAAATTCACTAGAAGATATTGTTTTGATGGAAAAGTATCCTCCAATTGATCATCTCGACATCAAGATGCATGGACATGAGAAAAAAATGGATTTCAAGTTTTGGGAATAGTATATTTTGTAATGCATTTTTGGCTCGTTAATTTTTAAGATTTTCAAGTTTTCATAGAACTGTCTATCTACACTATTTTTAAAGCTTTAGACTTTATAAAAAAAAAATGAAAATATATTTTAAGGCTATCACAAAATTTTTTTATGTTGAAACCATATTTCTCGACACTATTTAGAGGTACGCTCTAATTTAATTATCTAGAGGCTAAGCTCTATACAAACCGCCCCTTTAAAATAAAGGGTGCCATTTGCATAAGGTTGCAACCTTAAACAATCTAAGTGCACCTTTAAAATTTTATCCTAAATATAATTTTAATATCAAAATTTCTTACGATTGTTTGAGAATCTATTTTCATTTCTAATGATAAAATTTTAAACTTTAAAAATAGTTCAAATCAAGTAGATCAATAGATACATGAAAATGTTGAAAATAGACGGTCTAGATAATGTGTTGTAAGATACACTATTTTACGGACTTAAAAACTTTTTTCTTTTTCATATTCATATATTTGGATATTGAGATGATCAATTAGAGAGTTTTTCATCATACAAACTTTTTATGATGGATTTTTAAGGTCACCTTTAATTCTATATTTTAAAGTTGCAACCTCGTATAAACTTTTTCCTAAAAATCACTAAAAATCTTAAAAAAAACTTAATTAATTGGAGATAAGAGAGAAAATACTGTTTCTTCCCGGTATAAAATGAAACTCTTAAAGCGTAACCAGACAGTGGAGTCTCTCTCGCTCTACCTTCGCTAAAGCCATAGTTATCTTCCGTTCCTTTTTGCCCTAATTTTCTCCGAATTCTGCGTTTATTGCCCAAATTTTATTCGGTGGCCTTTTTTGCGTGATTTCTCGAAATTTCTCTTCTTTTTTATTTTGGGTAATTTGCTTTGTAGAAAGGAAATTATCTGTGATCACCATTTACAGAAACTCTCTGGTGAATTTGCTCTATTTTTCTGGAAAACTTTCGTGCAGCATCAGTTGCAGCAAGTTATCTTGCTGATCAGCTTATTTTTCAGTGATTTTTTGTGAAAAAATCTGGCTGAGATGGTTTTTTAGTGGATCTGAGTTATTTTCTGGGTGATGGTCAGTTACTTAAAGGAGTTTTTTGCTAGATCTGACCTGATTTTCTTAGAATTTTAGATGGAGAATCAGCGATTGTAAAATACACTTTTAAAATTGACTGTTTTGGCACCACCTCCACTGGTTTGAGGGGTTTTTAGGTCAGATCTTTTGTTTTTCAGTAAATATGGCTCAGATTCTGCTCCATGGAACCCTCCATGTAACTATATATGAGGCAGAGTCTCTATCAAACCCTCACAGAGCTACAGGAGGTGCCCCAAAGTTTATCAGACAGGTAAGGAGAGATCCTTTTTTATCAAAGAATGGTGCACACTAATTACTGGAAAATGGAGGAAACGTGAACTTGATGGAATGGTTTTTTGATATTGTATTATTGTAGTATTTATTTGTTTTAATGAAGATGTAACTTTCTCTGTTTGCTTTATTCTTGATAGTGTCTTTGTTTATTGGTGGGAATGCTTGAGATTAAGTGGTGCAAGTGTTCTACAGGATCTAAATATGCTTCCTTAAAGACTCAAAATGAAGATAGTTCTCAAAAAAAAAAAGACTCAAAATGAAGATGAACAAATTATTGAAAAGCTTAAAAAGGAAAATGAAAAGAGATTTTGCTTAGAAAATCTATAGAGGTTTGCAAAAAATTCATTTTGTATTATTCTGTTTTTTTTTTTACTCAAAAATATTGAAAAGGTGGAGTTAAAAGATATAGAATAAAAAATTGATCGAGGATGAAGTTATCTTAGTTAAAGGTGAATATAGATTATAGGATTACTGATATTTCTTTGGCCTGAAATTCTTATGGATCTATGTATTTGTGTAGTCCATCTTGGTTTTTGCCATAAAAATCACTGTGAACCTCGGTTGCGTTTATATTCATGAGTAAATAACATATACTGATCGAAAGATAAGAAGTTACCTATGGGAAGGAGTGAACTGTTTGTTGAGAATTGCATGATATTAGTTTACTTGCTTTCCCTCTTACCTTCCATTCTCTCTACATGTCATCCCATGGTGTTTCTGGGATAATCATGCTCGCTCAACTTGTTGGAATATTGCAACTAGTAATTTAAGTTAGGTAAAAATGCCACTATATTTGAAATGTACTTCACTTTCGGTATTTGCTGTACATGTTATGATAGTTGTCACTCCTGTACATATTTAGTCCATTTTTGGTCTTGATTTTATTTCTTCACTCAAAATCGGGAGCCCGAGCGTAGGAAAAGTATTGTGAAGAGAAGTTATCAAACCGGGGTTTCCTGGATCAGGAGATCATTTCACCGACCTAAGGTCTTTCAATTTTTTTTTCCTTTTTCACTGCCTCTTCAACTACTGATTACAATTCTTTTTCTTTTCTTTTTTTCTCCCTTTTTACCCTTTTGGTGTGCATTTACACCTGCAAATCCTTTTATAGCTCGTTGAAGGCATCGAGGAGACTATCGGATTCGGCAAGGGAGCTGGCAAGCTTTATGCAACAATCGATCTTGAGAAAGCCAGAGTGGGTCGAACCCGTATCCTCACGAACGAGTCAGTGAACCCACGATGGTATGAGTCCTTCCACATCTACTGTGCTCACATGGCCTCCGACATAATCTTCACTGTAAAGGATGATAACCCAATTGGAGCATCACTCATAGGAAGAGCACATGTCCCTGTAGAAGAAGTCATCAATGGTGATGAAGTCGATACATGGGCTGAAATTTGTGATGAAAACCGTAAGCCTATAGGTGGCGGCGCCAAAATCCATGTGAAATTGCAATATTTCGATGTTACAAAAGATCAAAACTGGTCAAGAGGAATAAGAAGCCCTAAATTCCCTGGTGTACCCTACACATTCTTTTCACAGAGACAGGGGTGCAAAGTCTCTCTATATCAGGATGCCCATGTACCCGATAACTTCATCCCCAAAATCCCTTTGGCTGGGGGGAAGTATTATGAGCCTCACAGATGCTGGGAAGATGTATTCGATGCAATTAACAATGCTAAACACTTGATCTACATTACGGGTTGGTCGGTGTATACTGAGATCACGTTGATTAGGGACCCAAAGAGGCCTAAGCCCGGAGGGGACACCACTCTCGGTGAGCTCCTCAAGAGAAAGGCTTCTGAAGGTGTGAGAGTATTAATGCTTGTTTGGGATGATAGAACATCGGTTGGTTTACTAAAGAAGGATGGCTTAATGGCTACCCATGATGAAGAAACTGAGAATTACTTCCACGACACCGATGTGCACTGTGTGCTTTGCCCTAGAAATCCCGATGATGGTGGAAGTTTTGTGCAAGACCTGCAAATCTCTACGATGTTCACCCACCATCAAAAGATAGTGGTTGTTGATGCTACGTTGCCTAACCCAGCTAACGAACAGAGGAGGATTGTGAGCTTTGTAGGAGGAATCGATCTATGCGATGGAAGATATGATACTCAATTCCATTCCCTTTTTCGAACTCTTGATTCAGTTCACCATGCTGATTTCCACCAACCCAACTTCCCCGGAGCCGCAATCACAAAGGGTGGACCAAGAGAGCCTTGGCATGATATTCACTCAAGGGTTGAGGGTCCTATTGCTTGGGATGTTCTCTACAATTTTGAGCAGAGGTGGAGGAAGCAAGGGGGTAAGGACCTTCTTGTTCAGCTTAGAGATCTCAGCGATATAATCATCCCACCATCGCCTGTTATGTTCCCTGAAGATAGAGAAACATGGAATGTTCAGTTGTTTCGATCAATTGATGGAGGGGCGGCGTTTGGGTTCCCAGGAACTCCTGAAGATGCAGCTAAGTCTGGGCTTGTCAGTGGGAAAGACAATATTATAGATCGAAGCATCCAAGATGCATATATTAATGCTATTCGTAGGGCCAAGGACTTTATCTATATTGAAAACCAGTATTTCCTTGGTAGCTCCTTTGGTTGGAAAGATGATGGCTCGATTAAGATCGAAGATGTTGGGGCTTTGCATCTTATCCCAAAGGAGCTTTCCTTGAAGATCGTTAGTAAAATTGAGGCTGGAGAGAGGTTTACTGTTTACGTGGTGGTGCCAATGTGGCCCGAAGGTGTGCCTGAGACTGGCTCTGTTCAGGCTATATTGGATTGGCAGAGGAGGACATTGGAGATGATGTATAGTGATATTGCTCTGGCGATTAAAGCTAAGCAACTCGATGCAAGTCCAAAGGATTATCTAACTTTCTTTTGTATTGCAAACCGAGAGGTGAAGAGGAGTGGGGAGTATGCACCACAGGAGCAGCCGGAACCTGACACTGACTATGAGAGGGCTCAAAAGGCCAGGCGGTTCATGATTTATGTTCACTCTAAGATGATGATTGGTAAGCAACTGAACCTGCAAACTCTTTATAGTTATGGAGCATTGGAAACTTTTTCTTGATAGTACAATGCTCATTCATAATTTATAGTAGTGAAATATTACCAAGTTAACATCTTCCTCTCATTCTTTGATAAGCGTCATTGGAACTTCTTTTTTGGTTTCCTCCCCCAAAAAATAAAGATACAAGTCAGGTTACCATTCAAAATGTGTGTGTCTATATATATATAGGGAAATGACCTTGTGAGACCCTCCCACACTCATGTGTGTAGGACCCCAAAGTATCATCATTAAATTTGACACAGTTCTCGATAAAAGTTATCACATGGGTGTGGGACTCGACTTTTTTAGATATTTGTGCCAAATTTAATGGTGATCTTTTAGGGTCCTACACACATGGGTGTCGGAGGGTCTCATAGGATCATTACTCTCTCTCTCTCTCTATATATATATATTTATGTATATATATATATATATTTATGTATATATGTATATTTATGTATATATGTATATATATATTAGGGGAATGATTTCATGTCACTATCTGATTGTGATATAAAGAAACCACACTTCTAGAAAACCATCTTTGTGACGTTTTTATGGCCCTAAATTTTGTAGAGGCACTCTCTTCATCCCAACAATCAATTCCAAAAAAAAAAAAAAAAAAAAATTACAATTTGCACCTTATATATGATCAAATGGAGCTCCATCCAACAAAAAATCTCGACTGTCTATTAAGTGAATTTTGAGATCTAGGCCTTTAGGAACTTAAAATCGGTTTTTTCTTTTTAAAAATTGTCAATCTGATGATACCAAAGTAATCTACAAAATTTATAAAAAGAAAAATTTCCGCCTAGATCTAAGTATCTTACCAAACGGACGACTCATATTAAATGGGTTAAAAAAAAACACTTTCTTAAGTTGCATTTTTAAATTTTATTATTTTGGGTTGTTTATCCAAATAAAAAGCATTTATGTTTAAAAATTAGGATAAAAGAAATGGCCCTGGCATGGTTTTTGAAGATTATTTCATTATATTAGTATAAAACTATTGCATGAAATCACTCCCTATATATATCTAGCTGACAACTACAATAAATGCCCATGCCCAATGACATTGACTGAATTTGGGCCGATCCAATGGTCACGATTGTATTTCATATTTGAAGTTTAGTTTTTTTTATGAAGCTAAATTATTTGAAATTTAGAACGTCTATTTTTAAAAAATAGGCAAATATAATAAAAATATAAAAAAAAATTCTCAAAAACCAAAGTGACCAAAATACCCTTGAAACTTTTAGGGGTATTTTAGTCAATTTATTTTTTTGAATTATTATTTTGAATATTTTTTATTAGGTGTGTCTTCATGAGAAGAGTGGACGCCTCAAATTTCATATGATTTGAATTTGAAAAATTCAAATTCCAATATGAAATGCAGCCACGACGGTAATATATATATATATATATCGGAGAGTTTGAGGTCAGCCAGCTAGTTGACCTCTATAGTAAACGTCCAATGGCCCAGATTGAATCTAGGCAATGGTTACAATTGCATTTCGTATTTTTTTTTTTTTTGTAATTCCAAATCACTTGAAATTTGGAGTGTATATTCTTAAAAAATAGGTGAATATGATAAAAATATCAAAAAAATGATTCATAAAAATTAAATAGACCAAATTACTCGTGAAACTTTAGGAGTATTTTCGAAAATTTATTTTTTTGAACAATTTCTTAATTATTTTTATTAGGTGGCCCTTGATAAGAAGAGTGGATGTCCCAAATTTCATGTGATTTGGATTTATAGAAAAAGATTTAAAATTCAAATACGGAATACAGTCGTGACTATCCGATCGGCGTAGATTCAATCTAGGCCGTTGGGCTTATACTATTTCATCAGCCCATTGGCTGACATGATATTTTCCCTATATATATATAGATAGATAGATAGATAGGGGGAATTATTTTATGCAACGGTTGTATAGTAGTACAATGCAACCACATATCTAGAAAACCATATTTTTGACATTTGTATGACTCTAAATTTTGCACACACATTCTCTTCATCCTCATAATCAAATCCTATGAAAAAAAAAAATTGAATTTGCACCCTAGATATGGTCAAAATTAGTAGCCTTCAACAATGAATCTCGACCGTCCATTTGGTGAACTTCAAGATTTAGGCCTTAACAATTTCAAAATTACTTTTGTTCTTTTTTAGCATTATTAATCTAATGATGATAATGCTATATAAAAATTTTGGGAATAAAAAATCATTCTATAGCCTATATCTACCTATCTCACAAAAATGAACGGCTTATATTAAGTGGGCTAAAAAACACTTTCTAAGGCGTTTTTTCAAAAGTTTCTTTTTTGTGATTGTTCTTTAGAATGACAAGAGTATACGTTTAAAAAATTGTGTCAAGCAAATATCTCTAACACGGCTTTTGAAAATGGTTGCATTATACTGCTATACAACCGTAGCATGAAATCATTTCCCGATATATGGGTAAACTTGGTTTTCTGTGACAACCAACATGAGGGTTTATTTTTTTCTTTCTAACGTTTCTTCCAATTGTGTGCCCAATTACGAATGGGTCCTCTATGTTCTTGACTTTAACTTGGCATAAATGCAAACTTCAAATTTAAAGATTTATTGTGAAAATATGTTATCCTCGTGATTATTGCTTGATGAGTTGGGGCGAGATGGTTATCTATTGCTCTTTGCCAGATGTGGCTACCTTGTTTTCTTTGATTCACCATATAGGGATTTCTTTTCTCACTGGTATTCTTTTAAAATGAAAATTGAGGAGCAACTCTTCCCTACACTTGTACAAATGCCTCCAGTCATGTCAAAAGACAAAGCAAATCGATGATAGAATCATAATTTCAGATGCTTTGATGTTTTTTATTGCTTCTCGTGCATAAAGGACTCCGATGTAGGGTTCTAGATAAACTGCAGAACCCATGTTTTCTATCTCATGCCTGTCTATTCTTCTTATCCATAATCCATCCATGCTATTCATTGTTCCTTTCTCTCTCTCTGTCTCTCTTTTTCTTCTCAAGCTCATTATGTCATCTTTATAATCATTCCACAGTTGATGACGAGTACATCATCGTGGGATCAGCAAACATAAACCAGAGGTCAATGGATGGTGCAAGGGACTCAGAGATAGCCATGGGAGCCTTCCAACCTTATCATCTTGCAACTCGTGGCCAGCCTGCTCGTGGCCAAATCCATGGCTTTAGGATGGCATTATGGTACGAACACATGGGCATGCTCGATAATGTGTTCTTGGATCCCAAGAGCGTAGATTGCATTCGAAAATTGAACAAGGTTGCTGACAAATATTGGGACCTCTATTCTAGTGATTCTCTGGATCGGGATTTACCTGGCCATCTCTTAACTTATCCAGTAGGGATCACTAATGATGGATATGTAACTGAGTTACCGGGCTTTGAGTTCTTTCCTGATACTAAGGCTCGGATTCTCGGCACCAAGTCTGATTACATGCCCCCCATCCTCACCACATAGGTGCCATTCTCTCTCTCTCTCTCTCTGAGTATTACTGCTGCTGCTGCTTCTAGTGTGGGTTGCATTTTGAGTTGTAACTTGTGTTGAATAAAGTAGTTTAGAGCTGAAAAGGATGAAATGTTTATGAGCTTGACTTGGTAGATATTTGTTACTGTTTACTCTTGTGAGTATGTGATGCTGACTGTTTGATGAATGTTGGAGAACCATGTGTTTCTAAGTTATGCTTCCAAGTTATCATGTGCTTGGTCTCTCTCTCTCTCTCTCTCTCTCTCGAAATCGTGCACTTGGTTTGTTTTGAGTGTCTCTCTCTCATGTGCTAGATTTATTTTCTATGGTGCTCTCTCTCTCTCTCTGAATCATATACATGGTTTCTTTTTGTGCGACTCTCTCTCTTTCTCACACACATTTAGAAGAGCTTTCTTTTGAGTTTTGTTAGAGTCATTTTACCCAAGTGACAGATACATAGCAAAACATTTTGAAAATCTTTGGTGCCATATTTCAATTGTAAGAAATGGCAGGTGTTGGGAAGTTTTCCCTATTAGGGTAGGTGTAAATCCTTGAATGGAGTTTCAGTATGGGACCCCCCTTACTAAGTCTCTCTATCCCTAACCATATCTTGTAAGGGCTTGATGATCAAGCCCTACAAACATTATAGTTTTGGTTGAAAAGGTCTGTAAGGTGCATTATTGTTGAGACTTTGGTGGCCAAGTAGGGACATATATGAGTGGTTGGGAATGGGCCTCTTTTATCATAATGATGGTGAGCAATAAACAAGTTTTTGAACTTGGACCATGGGTGCCAAAAAGGGTGGCAAAAGTGTAATCACTGGGTGGTGAAACATTTTATTGGTTTTGGGTTTAGGGGTGGCGAAAGTGTAATCACTGGGTGGTGAAACATTTTATTGGTTTTGGGTTTAGGGATGGGGCTTGTCAATATCAGCCATTAGAAAATTGCCTAGCCGTTTCGGAATTGCAGAACTTGGTTCGGGTTTGGACGCAAGAGATTGTAGGCAAAAACCCCAAGAATTACCATAATTTTTTAGGGGTTTTAAGCTTTTCATTTAAAACATGGTCCCGTTTGGCTTGGGCTTGCGAGTTAGACCAAGGCGACACAATCTTAGTAGGGGTGGCAACAGGTCGGGTCCGTGTCCGGTCGGACCTAGACCTTGACCCAAAAATATAATGTGGGACCCAGATCTGGATTCGGACCCGACCAAATCCGATTGGACTCGCTTCAAAAATTAAAATATCTTTGTATTTAAATAGATTTTAATATATTTTTATAAATTGGGAAATATGGGACCCATACCCGAATAGTGTTCGGGTCCAAATCTTGGATTCGGACCTGACCCACCGGGTCCAAATCTTGGACCCAAACCCGATCTGCCGGTTCTAGGTTTTGAACCCAAAACAGGACTTGTTATGACTTGGGTCGGGTCTGTGTCTGGTCCCAGGTTGGGTTCGGGTCCATTGCCACCCCTAGTATCAGGCCATTGGCCAGTCCAAGCCCTATTATCACTTTTTAAGCACAGGTTGATGTACATCCAAATACACCGTACACTATTGGTATATGGTACACTACGTTACTCTTTTGTTGTTTTGATTAATTGTGTTAGGATGTTTTTATGTTGGGTGTTGGGAAATAATTGTATTTGAGTTTTTAGTACGGGAAAAGTTTATATAAGGTTGACACTTTAAATTGTGGAATTAATATGCATCTCAAAAATCCAGTGGAAAAGGCTATTTTGACATTGAAAAACTATCTCTAGTTGATCGGCTCGATCTCGAGATGTATGGATATAAAAAGAAAAAAAAAAGATTTCAAGTCACATCTAGCAACACATATTCATTTTCAAAATTTTTATGTATTTATATATCTGCTTGATTTAAACTAGTTTTGGAGTTAAAATTTTATAATTAGGGATGGAAATAGATTCCTAGCCATCCAAACAAATTTTGAAATCAAAATTGTATCTCATGACAAAGTTTAAAGTTTAGAAGTACACCTTTGATTATATAAGGTTGCAACCTTATACAAAACCACACCCATCAACTTATATACGGTTCTTTTTGACGGGGTACAAAATGGGAGATTAGGGTGACCTGCTTTTAAATCTAATTCAATCTTCATCTTTACCCATAATAAATAATTTTATTAGTAATTGAAATGGTAATATATAAAGTATAGGGTGCGGTTTGTATAGAGCCGAGGCTCTAAACAATCAAATTAAAGCCCTCCTTCGAATCGAGAAATATGGTTTCACTACTGGAAAGTTTTGTGATAGCCTTAAATTATATTATTATCTTTAGTTATAAAATTTAAAGCTTCAAAAAACTGTAGATCGAGCAAATTTATAAAAACTAGAAAATCTTGAAAATTGACGGTCCAAAAATGCGTTACGAGAAGCACTTTTCCAAAACTTGAAATCTATTTTTTTTTCTCATGCCCATGCATCTTGATGTCTGATCAATTTGGTGATATTTAAGCATCAAAACAACCTCGTTTAGTGAAAGTTTGGAGATAGGCTCTAGTTTGATTGTTTAGAGCCTAGGCTCTATATAAACTTCTCCAATATAAATAAAAATTTCTATTGAAAAAGGTATTTATTCCTTTAATGAATATTTTATCTTTATCCCAAAATATGATTAAAATAATATTCTACCATACTTTGAGGATCTTCTTGCCAATTTTACTTATACAACCAATGGTTAAAGTAAGAATCGTAGCATTCAAACTAGTTAATAAGGCAATAATTATATTTACGGAAGTAAGGTTACAGAGTTCCACCTATAGTATGTTTTCGTTGAAGGAAAAAGTTTACATATGGTTAAAACTTTATACTTTAGAAGTGATGTGCACTTTTAAAATCCAATAGAAAAGAGTGTTTCAATGTTAGAAAACCTCCTAATTGATCATCGCATGAATATATAGAAAAACAATAATTTCAAGTCTTAAAAGAGTGCATCTTATAACAAGTTATCTACACCGTTTATTTTCAAAATTTACAATTGTTTTTAGATATGTTTGATTTGTACTGTTTTTTAAATTTTAAATCTCATAATTAAAGTTGAACATAGATTTTCAAGCCATCATGAGATTTGACACTAGTACTATATCTTTTAGTAAATTTTGGTGGTGTGCCTTACTTGTATAGTATAAGATAAGCAATTTATACAAACCTCACCCTAGTTGAACGATGTAGAACTAAAACAATGAGAAATTTAGCATGTATTTTTGGAAAATATTAATTCTTCACTGTCTAATTAAACTGGATGGTGCAGATTACGACAACTATACTTCTACAAATAATGTTTTCCCTTATATATGGGGATTGCTCCATTTGAAGGACTATTAGGATACCTACAACCATGATGTCACAAGTGTGCCTCTGGTCGTGATCTCAAGGCTTGGAGTATTTTATGTTTAACGAAAAAAATTACATGATATAGGGGCGTACCTAAAAAAGAATATAAAGAAATGTTTCTGATAAAGTAAAATTTCAGTAGTTTGGTCATTTTATTTTGTTAGGAGTATCGTTATTGTATTTTTCTCAGGTGTACCTTTATGAAAGGATGACACACCCTAAATTTGGTGTTAATATGCATTGTAGAAAAATTAAAATAAAATAATATTTAGATCTGACATTGTGAACAAGACCATATTAGCCAATGAGATTGGATGGCTAGGACAAGGGTGACATATATAATTTCATTGTACTTAATAGTATAGGCTTCCCCTTATATAAACCATTTTTCATGAAAGAAATGCTAGAAAAAGGGTACACATTAGAGAGAATTTCATATGATTTAAGACAGGAAAAAAATTTATATAAGGTATCAACCTTTTACTATAAAGTAAGGCATGCCTCAAAAACTCATTGGAAAAATGTTGTCTTGTCACTCAAAAACCCTCCAATTGATTATCTTGACTTTGAGATATATTGGTGTTTAAAAAAAAAAAAGAATTTAAATCCTAAAAACATCTTGCAATGTATTATTTGAATTATTCATTTTTACGTGCTTCTAGAAATCGGTAGATCTATACTAGTTTTGAAGTTTTAAATTTCATTATTAAAAATGAAAATAGATTTTCAAATCATTATAGGAATTTCGGCACTGAAATAACACATTTTAGCATTATTGGGACTCCTTACTTTGATTGTTCCGAGTATCAACCTTATATGGACCTCACCCTTGAGATATTTGAGAGTGACTTACCTGTTTTGTTGAAGGTATATGGACAATGGTTTGATAGGGTTGTTACCCTATCAAAATAAGCAGAGCCCCTTTATATCGATTATCTTGGCTTGAACATTATGACTGTTGAAAAATTTAAGATTTCAAGTTTTAAAAATAGTGTATATTGAAACAAATTATTTAGACTGTTCATTTCACTCCAAAATTAAGTGTTTATAGATTTAAAATATCTTTATCTTTTTTTAGTTTCAAATTTGATTGTTGGTGTTTGAAATTGATTTTAGAGTCATCATGAGGATTTCATTGCCAAAAGTGCTTTCCCGAATTCGTGACGAGGCTTTATTTTGTTTTTATAAAACCTTGGTCTTACAAAAACATCATCCTTTATTTTTGTACCAAATTTAAAAATAAAAAAAAAAGTTCGAAACCTTCATCTGAATTGCTTGGACATCGAATTATTTTATTTTTCTCACCAAACCAAAAAAACAAATACGGCAATAGTTTAGCACTTGGTTTGAAGGTCGCTGTCACTTCAAATTTTGTCTTTGGGTCCACACACTCATGCGAGTTTTCAAACTTCAAAGAATATCTACCAAAGAAAAATACCCAACCATAAGAAAGTAAGGACAAAAAGTTGGGGAAAATATAATAATATGACCCCATGTGAGATAGGACCCCATTAATGTCTTGGTTGGTTTCAGCATTGATGATTGCAGTATGACTCTTGGCCGAGCAGTTCTAATTCAAAATGTGCAGGCTGCTTTCATACCATTGTCTTCCAACCTATTGGTTAGATAAATGACAAGCCCATGGGTTTTCATGACACAAGGACCTAGAAGGTAGGCTGGCAATACGCAGGGCCCAGTGTTGGATAAGTAGGCTTTCATGACGACCGATTAACTCGGACTCGGGCACCACTGGCCGAGCCTGAGTAGTCCCGATTTCATAGGCCACCCTTTGGGACATATCTCTATAGTGCATTAATCCGCTTATTTATTTACAAATCAGCCGACTTATATATTAATCGGCATTTGCAAGACT